TTCTAACATCTACTGAGATATTAAGAATGTCCTTGATGAGAACGCCAGCAGGGTTTCCCAAATTTTAACACTGTGTCCTTGAGAAAATACCACCACTGTGGGTGTGTTGTGTACGTTTATACTTAATATATGTTTAAGGTTATACTCATAACCTGTAGTCATGGAGTGTGCCATTTAATATATGGCAAAGCCTTGCTATAATGGCCAGAGGAGGCATGTAGAGACTGAAAAAGCTGAAATATACAATATTACAGGCCTTCCTGGAAGGGCAGCAAGTATAGATGGAAACTTCGCATTGTGTTATCAGAATAAAAATGCAATCAATATGTTGAGGAACATGATAGGTTCAAAAAGGAGATGTAGAGGTTACCGAGACCACAACATAGTCACAGCATTCAGGTCATTCTTAGGCAATGCTGATTACAATTTATTATTTGTTATGGGGATATCATCATTCACTGAGAGTGTAGTCAGTAGACATACTATTGTGGTAATCCAGACAACTTGGAACTCAAAATGTCATATCTTGTACTTGAAAATATACTGTGGAACTGGGAAACTTGAGCCAATTTCACATATCCCGACTTGACCAAGAAATGGGTGCCATGACATCAGACAACATGGCAGCCTCCACAGGGCCAATCAGAGTGAATGACAAATAATCACATGACCATATAGAGTGATCTTTCCTGTCTTACATTGCAATAAATACTCTATAAGTAAAACAAAACTGATTATGCATGCAGACTGATGTCAAAATGAATGTTGCTAACAATTTAGCTTTAACAGTCCATAGATAGCTCTTGCCTAGCTTACTGAAATGAAACTTCGCTAAACAAACAGAGCTGCACATGCAATTTTTAATTAGTCAACCCTCTGGGGTTATCATGCTTGTGCTATTATATGCTATTCTCTGTTTACAATTCATAACTTATAAAATTATATTGTTCCTTTTTATACAAAAATCATAATGTGTTATATTATTAAAACTTATTATGACAGTCAGTCATGTTAGTTGTTACATTTGGTGTAGCTCAGAAGGTTTTGAAACTTGGGAATTCCGACCGCGGACTTGACTGGATTACAACATATTTGTAGCTTTTACTGAGGAGTCTTTCTACAGTATAGTATTGTGTGATTAATTAGAATCTCCTTCTCACTAATTCTGTGTATCTTCTGCAGAGTATGTATTAATTGAACTCTTTGCTTTGTTTTATATGGGTTTAGTACAGCTGTGTTACGCAGCTATATAGTTGATCTTTGTGTTTTGATTGATGAGTATTGTTCCTACCCAGTAAATAACTAGTGTTTTGATTACTTCTTTGTTGTCTCGTCTTTTTTCTATCGCAGGTAAATTTCTATGTAGTGGTGTTACAGCAATTCCACAAGAATTTGCCGACACTAGAGCAGAAGTGTATTGTCCATTACGATTAAGTCTTTCTAACGTTTGAGTTGAGTCTATCAGACATACTGCAATTGAATCAGTCCCTGAGGTGAATTAATTAAACATGCTAACTATTTCCTTGGAGTCTCTCAGCTGAATTAGTTAGGCATACTGAAATTGCATTAGTCCCTGAGCTATCAATAACTGTGTAGCCTCTGAGTTGAAACAACCAAATACAGTATATTAAAATTAGGCAGAACCTAAACTAGATTGACCAAATTTGCTGATACTCATACTTCTCTCACACACTGTCAAACTCTCATTCACACACACCGTTAAACTCTTACACACAATCATACTTTTCACACAATCAAATTTCCATGTGCAGAAAGTGAATGGGTGTGTAAGGAAGAGCCTGATAATGTGTACACGAGAGTTTGAAGAAAGGAGAAGACAGTTAAATAAATCTGATTGAAGATTTATGTCATCCATCCATTTAAATTCAAAGTTTCTGTTTTTGCAGTGTTTCCATGCCGATCACTGCAAATTGTATAAAATCCAAGATGTTATGCTGACATAAAAATAAATACTGCGCTTGATGTTTTCCAGGGCATGATCTGTACAAACTATGAAGCAGAGGAGAAGCCATCAAAGAGGACTTATCCAGATCTTTGTGCTAACCGCATGCATCAACTGCAGCACAATAAACTAATGCAAGGTGCACAACAAAAAAACAGCATGCCTCAGGTATAAGGACTTCAATGTAACCTTCCAAACGGCACATTTTCAAAGTCCTCCTTCAGTCAAGAACAATGCTGATGCTCTGCAGGCCTGATGTGGAATGGGACTGGTAATGGTGATGACAAAGATGAATACAAAGAATGAATATTATTGTATTACCCTGCAATTATCAGCCAAATTTGCATCAATGCATTTGAGAGCTGCAAGTGTAAGTTTGAGTGTGGAATAAATAAGGAGAAAAATGTGAGACACTGTCTCTTAAGGTGCCAACTGATGGGAATTCTTAACAATTGCAATGAATCAGGAGGGCTTACACAATAGATCTTTGTAAAGATAATACTACCTTAAGTAGGCCTTCTGATACACTAATGCAGATAGAATGGTGGGAATTAGGACAGTCGTGAAGTGGAAAAAAAGCATACTAGGGCATTTGGAAGGCATAGTTGATTTGAGGAATTATTTGCATAATAATAATCAAATTAAACTAACATTATGGTTGCAAATACAAAGAATGTTTTCTTCAGGACTATATTCATTATGGTAATGAAATGGAAATAATGGTTCATTAGATATGAGCACAGATAGCTCTTAATGTGGAGGTCATGCCAGGACTTTGTAAGTTGCCTTTTATCGAATTTTATATGTAAACAATGGTACAGGACATGGTGTGAAGTACAAGGAAAGGTTTTAGAGCCAATTTCCGTGCGTTTGCTTAAACTGAACTGGTACAACTCCAAGACATCCTGAAAGAACTGCCTGATCCGCAATGTCATCGGCACATATTCCAGAAATAACACATGCAAAATGAAATTCTGAACGTGACAGGTGGGTACAGGTGTCAACTGACAACAAAACCTGTGTGGAAAAGAATATTACAAGGATGGTATTTGTGAATGTCAAAGGCACTAGAGGAATGAACATTACCCATAAAATTTATGCACATAGTCGAGAATGCTATTACTGCTGCGTTATCGCACAACCACATAACAAAAACAATAGCGTCTGTCATGGCAGTACCCATCTATACTGAAAAATGTGTACCATGATCGACATGAGTAAAATACACCATAATATGCAAATTAATGTTTACAGAGACTATGGGATGACATTACAGAATGGGATAGCAATGTCATTAATATAAAGATTAAAGGGTTGTGGTGCTGGAAGGATTGTCATAATATGCTTGGGCGATAGACTGAATCATAGGATGCTGTATTATGAATTTTATGTGACTCTTTATTATTCCGTAGTAGCTGTAGGGAAAATGTAGCTGTTACTATCTCCTGTATAGTATGGTCACTTGTGAAAGCAAAGGTTACAGCAGGTATGTCGTATGTATGTGATATGTATCATATGTATGTCTAGTGTTGGTTGATGGAGATGAGTCAGAATACAGGAGACTACAAAGGGTTTTGTGTTGTGCTGTAGGGAGAACTACCTGCAGCTCAACACCAGCAAGAGAAAGGAGTTGGTGGTGGACTTCTGGCATCGCAAGAAGGCCCAGAGACCAGTCGCTATTTTTCTACATTCTACTTTCTAAGGATGCTCAGGTCTTTTGTTGTGTGCAGCTCTGTATTGTCTTTGTACATTATCTTTGTTTTTGTCTTTGTCCACTTAAAGTACCTTGCTTTTGTATGCAAATGAATTCCCACCAAGGATCAATAAGGTATATAATATTTTTTAAATTATCTTTAAAAGTTAAAGAATGGGCATACAGGAAAATGCAAAAATCTTGACTTGCTTATTTTTTAGGAAACTACCCTTATATTCAACATATTTCATTGTCTTCCTCCTCTTCGGGAAACTTGCTTTTAACATCAAAAAGACTTTGCCTTCTGCTGAGCTATCAAATTGCCTGAAGGTGCATTATGTTCATTATCCATGTCAATGCAAAGTTTTAATAGCTTTTCAAATGGTTGTCAAACTCTACTTACATTTTTCAGCTTTGAACCACCTACCTCAGCCATCTTCTTAAATGTTGCTTTGTTCACATAAATTGCATGTGAAGTAGAAGCAGACAGATGTATCAAAGTACAAAAATCCTTTTTTGTCATGCCTTATTATGTGTTTAATTACATCCAATTTAACACAAAGAGGTAAGAATTCAACAAACAGTTATGCTAAGTACATGGAAAAAGTAGTGTGCGTACACATTTATCTGTTAAACCTGTTTTTGGTGCAGGGTATTGCTGTTGTGTTAATACTGTGCAATAATGTAGCTTTTCCAAAATGAGCAAAAAACTGGTTTAAATTACTATTGTTGATAAGCTTCCTATAGTTGGTGGTGAACAGTGTAAAGCCCCTGCCTAGTGCATCCATAAAATGGTTTGTTTTTTCACATATATAATGCAAAGACCAAAAATACAAAACAATATCCTTCACAGTATTCTTCTCAATTCCATCATCTATAAAAAGGAAATAAAAAAAACAGTCAGACTAAAAAGTTTGAAGGCCTGAACTGTAAACAATATTTTATTTTCTTAAAAGCCTTCAGAAATGAGGTACATGAAATACACGGTTACCTATAACAATATTATAATAAATGTTTCAGAACGCCGTTTGACTGACTCTTGATTTTGGGTTAGACTACAGTCTGGGTTTGATTTCTCGCTGAAGTGTTGCAATTCAGACATTTAAATTATTGACTCATTATGAGTAATGACTATTTACGGTCAAACTATAGTCAAATCGATTTTAACACTAAAATTGTCACCTATTCCTGTTGTGAACATGTTATATACATAAGGATACAGAGATACAATCTTGTACCTATTGCACAGCAGCAAGGGAAATGTATCACTAATAATAAATAGAAAACCTGGATGAATCTATATACTGTAAAATAAAGTCAATAACAGTATACTATAGGAAGCAATAGCGCAAAAATATTTCATTTTATTTAATATCATGCCTGCCAATTTTAGGTGTCATTGTGTTTCTATAGTGCAAACATTTTTTCCTTCACTTCTTAGTACACAGACTAGATGGAGGGGGAAAAAAATATATCAAAATTTGTCCTGTAATCTTTGGAATAATTTATAAGTACAATTAAACTGAGAAAATTAAATACTGACAACAAATGCATATTTTTTTCATGCTGCTTTCAACATTTAAGACCAGTGTACTGCAATGTTCTTATGGGAGAAATATGCTCTATTAGGCAAACTAGAATTCAATGTTAACTTTCACTTATAAGTAATGTAACAGTTTAAATTATATTCCTTTCAATGACATTCAGTATATGATGTACTTTATATTAACATCACGTTACACAACTAAAGTCAAAACAATCAAAATACAAAAGATTTTTTCCTCACTAAAACTAAGGGTATATCTTACAATTGAAACTATGTTCTATACGGTCATATATTTAATGATACAAATGGGCAGATTAAGAATCTCAAACATTTTTTCTTTTGTCTGAAGTTTATGCCCTCAGTTGCCTTAAAGGTACTGAAAAAGATGTCAAATGAACTTTCCCAAACTTCATACTTTTCATCATCGTACTTTACTACAAATCTTTACTACAATCACTGTTATATTGATGCATTCAAAGTATTTTTTTCAGAAAGCTGAATAACACTTTCAGTTAAACTTGATTTGAATTGCGCTTGTTTTTAAAGTAACAGCTCATTTAAAACAAAGAACTGAATACGTAACTCAGGAAATCAAGTCATTTCACACCCCGTACACTAAACCCTCTTTCAACTGACATATGGATAGTTAATTACTAAGGACAAAAAAACTAAATGAGTTGTTGGGTAACCTCATTTGTGCTGAGACATGAATGATACCCCATTTGTCTAAACACCTCTTCGGGATAAAGGGGGAAGTTGTTCAGAAGCACCAGAGGGATCAGATTGTCCCACAGCTGTTGTCTTACTATCCAAGGTTTCAGAGAGAGAATTTTCTTCAGTTGTGGAAGATCCCTGGTGAACCTCTAAAAGAGAGACTGTCCAAGATGAGTTTGGTTCAGAGGCGGAAGGTTTCGATGGGCATGTTGCTAGTCTCTGGACGTGGGCTTGCTCCACACCTCTAAGGATGCGAACTAGAGCGTCATTAACCTGCTGGTTGATGACAGCATCTCGCTCACCGAGTTCCTCAGGTGGAGCTTCCCTAGCAGATTTTGATAGCTGTTGCAAGACTTCGATCTGCCGATCCATAAGGCCCAGCATGCTACAGTGGAAAGCCTTTTGTTCAGCTAGCTGCTCGCCAAGCTGGTGATTGAGAATTGTGAGCTGCTGGAGGATCAGGCTGCTGGTATCTTCAAACCCACCTACAGAAGGAGATATACCAAGGTTGATAAAATTATGCAAAATCTTAACAACAATAACAACAACAACAATAATAATAATAATGTACATTTTATTTGACTGGTATAGGAGTTAAACTCTTTAAAGACAATATCTATTTTATTATTCAATTACCAATTTCTTGCAGAACTGACCACCTAAGATATTAATAGCACAATTAAATGCAAATTAATCAGCACACTGTAACTGAGTCAGATTTGTGACTCAGTGCTGCTGGAAAAAGTCTGCAATTAAACACCGCAGAAAACATGATCAGTGACAATGTATCCACTCTTGTAGCTGATTATTTCTACATAATTCATGGTACAGATCAGTGACACTGTTTCCTTACTGACAGACATTATTCATGTTGCTGCATTGTTTTGTTTATCGTGTTACATGTGTTACAGTACATTAGTTTTATGTGCAATGCAATTCACTTTATCATGTAACAGCTGCCAAAAGAATATTCTCTGCATTTTTAACATCTAATGCTTTGTTACTTACTGACAGAGCCAAACACTCACCTGAAAAGTGTTTTGGGCTGCAGCTTGAAGAATCTCTAGCACCTTCCATTACACCTAAAGACGACAGCAGATGTGGCTCAGTCTTCACTGGATACAGATACTCCCCTGACAATCCCAAGGTGACCACCTCCTCTGTCCCAATGTCCCAGTGGGGTGGTTTAAAGTCAACAGGTTCATCAGGCTGTCCTTTACTTCCCTCACTATCTCCTTCAGGTCCAGGGAATTCCGTTTGCCAATGTGTTGTGGCACAGGGCAGTGGAACATCACCTATAAGAGACAGACATCTACAATCACCCAAAAACTAGAAAATGACCAGGATAGGAAATAAACAGTGAGAATGGAGGGCATTCTATATATATATATATTTTTTTTTTTTTATCCACTGGAACGTCGGGCCTTTATGAATGCATTGTTAAATATGCATTAAGAAGCAACCATGGGAATAATTTGTCACACTTAAGTACATAAAAGCATCCAATCTTTATAACAATCACTTTCTATTTACATGACCATCTGTTTTGACTTGATGCAACTACTATCAGTTAAAAACTGAAATACCAAACCCCAGAACATGGTAAAAAAGAAAGTTATGTCATTACAGCACTACAGTAAGTTGTGACTAGCATCCTTATACCGAATGCTATTGATAAATTTAAAAAAAAAATGGCAGATATACTGTCAGTGTGATCTTCCATGTCAGAGGTGGAGAGCACCACCAGGTTATGACTTGTTGCAGTGGCCTCCACCTGACCAGGCGCCCTGGGCCTCTGAGCCAGCATGCGGTCCAGCTTCTTGAAGTAGCGGAACGACTCGATGGCCGAGAGGCGGGCCGCTGGGCTGCGATATCCAGCAGTCTTGATCTTGCGGTATTTGTGTTTGAGACTCTTCCACCGATTGCGAATCTGGTTCACGCTAAAATGGATGTCCCTCCTTGCTAGACTGTGGCGCAAGCGACGGAAGTGTGAATCGTTACGCTGGCGTTTTTTGTCAAGTTCATGCACTAGGTCCAACTCCTCAATCAAGGCCAGCATGGTGAAAGTGTCAGTCTCTGTCCACCACTTGTTGGGCTTTCTCTCAATTAGGTCCATGGTGTCCTTCTGGTCTGCCAGTCGTGCCAGCAGCCCTGCTTCCACAAGGCTTAGAGTTATACAGGGTCAAGACTCCCTACTGAGACTGATAATTCTGCAGTAAATACTAGCTTTTGCTTAGGTTACTTTACTTCACTGTACAATTTCCAAAGCAGTGTTGTGCATTTCTGCAAATGTGGCTATTTTGTGTATATTTAAATGCATATTAAACTATGATATTGTCATAATAGCAAATGCTAAAAAGAATATCTTAAGTGGACATCACAAATTTATCAAAAATATTACTTAAAGTAGACATAAAATTAGCGTAAGGAATATTTCTTTCATGTGAATTAAATTACATATGAAAGGCTCTGATTAGGTTCTGTAAAATTTCCTACCTTTTTATCCACATCAGACCAAAGAACAACCCAGTTCTAATAACAGTCCATCCCAAAGGCATATTTCTTAAAATAAATTATAAAAATAGATAACTACTTAAAACAGTAATTAAGTAATACAGAATAAGAACCTGGAAGTTTACAACTAAAAATAAATGGATTTTTGCACATACATTTGTGTACATATTTGAAACTAAAATGGAAGTTTTAAGAGTGAAAATGCATTGCATCGGTGGCATCATCCAGTTAATATATAACTCAAATGGCAATGACTGGATGCGAATGTCCACATAAGCATAAATTGAACACTGTCTTTAAGGAAATCCTATATTTAAACAAAGTGCTAACTGCCTTGAGAAATAAAGGTTAGCTATCATGGCTATTTATTTTAATATATAGGCAGCAAAAATATACAATTTTCAGTAATGATTTAAAAATTATAAATTTAGCGGTCTAGTTAATATAATTTAATGTCAGCACCAACAATTGTTTGACAGCTTCATAACGATCCACATTTGGCTTTCTATTTTAGATAATAGAAGAGTCTGCTTTCAATGCTTTAATATTAATCCTAAAGGTCAGTCATTTAAGCAAGAAAAAAAAAACATTTTAATCACATTTTATGTTTTTATACATCACTACAGACAGACACTGCATGTAAAAGGTTTATGACCAATTGAACTATATGCAGCTATTGCAATTTGCCGGTTAGCAGAATTAGCACTGGTCAGAACAAAAAATGTACAAATGACCATATTACTTGATAGCTGGCGAGATATTTTAGCAGTTGCTGATGCACGTTAAACCATAACCAAAATCCAGCATGCCACCGGAGCCAGGCGGCGTTCTTCTGCCCTTTTTGCTTGCAGTGGTTAAAAACTTTAAAACGCTTACTATTAAAAATAACACATCACGATTCCCCCAGTTTAAGCTGCACCTCGCCTGCGTCAAGGTAGCTTCATGTTTACGTATCAATCATATGACCAGGTTTTTGGGCCATCTTACGTCACGTGGTATAAAATCCAAACCCTGGTTGGTTACTAAAATGCATCACTGCCCATGTGAGGCTAATATTTGTTTCCTGTTCATGTGATTTAGTATCGTGTAGTGAGTTGCTTCGCCGTGTCTTTCGGTCGTGTGCATGTGGAAGGTCAACGAAGTTATCTAGGTATGCATTTGATTTTTGATTATAAAGTATGCATTTGTGAATTCTTCGCTTCTGTTTGTATGCATGCTGTCTCCGATCATATATTCTTGTTCCACAGTTGGAAAGTCGTTCGTAATGGCGACCAGCAAGTATCCAATAGTGGTGGAGGGAGAGGCATCGGAGACTGATTCCGATGAGGAGATATATATAACTTCGGTCGGTGCAGCACACTCGACTGAATCCGGTTTAAAAGTTCTTGGAGAAGCACCGGAGACTGACAGCGAAGGCGAGCAGGATAACATACAAAAACTTGTTACTGGAGAAAACACTGAAATAACGCCAAAACTCAGTAAGGAAATACCTCTGCTTGTCGTCAGTAGCACCAAAGACCCTGCTTCGACGCTGGAGGAGTTTCCCGTTTGCAAACTCGTGTCAGGCAGTCCCTGTAACACATTACTGCAACAGAAATTGCAAGAAACCAATGCACGGCTGTGCAGCGACGTGGCACACACGCTCAGACAGGTGTATCAAAATGCCACTAGAGAGATTCAGGTGGCAACAAGTCACTTCGGCAATTCTCAGAACGGAATAATCAATGCTTCTCATAGCATCCGGCTTATTGTGGAAGATCTTAAGTCTGTCAGTGAAAAGATTGACATAATTACTACTTGTAACCTACTTCCAGACATAATCATTAACTCTTCTTAACTGAACTGTAAGATTTTTATGGATAGATTTTTTTAAATGTTATATTTGAGACTAAGGTGAACATTGTCTTAAAAACAAATATTACTTGTATGCATTTTGGTCAAATTACCCTGTGTTCTGGTAGTCATACTAATGTAAATGTTTAGTTTTAATGTTTTTTAAAGTTACATTAAAGTCACACCATAAATACAACAGTAACTGAAAATGAGTGCTTTGCACAAAAGTGATTTCCTGATTAATATGCAGTTGCTGGTATACAGGGCTAGTGCTAATATGGGCTTATTCTCTGTATGTTATTTGAAGCAGTCTTTATATCTCACTCGCTGGTGTGTGCCCTGCACCAGTTTTCAAGTCGAGGGCAGAGATGTGGCATATGGGTTGCCACCATACATGGTTTTACATTTGTGTATAATGAGTTTCAAAGAGAAACGAATGATCTGTAGCGCATGATTTTAAGGAGCAATACAGGCGCATACAATTTTGTAGAATTCATGTGACAAAAATATGTTTTTAATAATTTCAAGCCTACTGCCTTGATGAAAGTTATTCTTAGGTTTTTTTTTAAGTTTCATCTGTAATAATGCATGCTCAAATCAATGTACATATTTTTTGCCATATAAGCAGTTACACTCAGTATAATGTGTAGTGTAATGCTTACTTACCTAATTACAAGACTGACAGGGAACATTATCATAAAAAAGATGAAGGTGTTAATTTGACATAGACAATAATCGTAAATAGAAATAAATAACGTGTCGTCGGCTGTAACGTGACAGGTGGTAATGCAATGTGTCTGATGAATGAAGACGGTATTTGCATATGCATATTGTATCGTGGGAGTACATATTTTATTATTAATGCACGTACCACCTGATTGACAATGGAAAAACATTGAAAGAAATAGTAGCAGAGATTTCGCAAAAGCAGTTCGAGAGGTGCTCCCTAGTTCCCGTCAAAATAACCGCGTGGGTTCCGCGTAGCTTTACACTGCTCTCGCGTTTTCCGTCCGTGTCTCACCAGCCCTCCGTTTTCTGCGTACTGCCTCCACCTCCTGGTGCATGCCTGCTGCTGACATCTGTTGTGTGCTTTCTGCTCAGATTCCGCTACCTCCTGCTCTTCACCAGGCTTCCTACCATGCTGCCTGCTTTACCAGCTGCTCCTTTGGCGCCATTTCTTGTGCGCTCTTGTTTTTCTGCCTCGAGTCTTTCCCCTTATGGACACACTGTGCCGGCTTTGCTTCTTAGATGAGTTCTGTTAATAGCACCTCCATGAACCATGCCTGATGTGTCACAGGCCCAAGATGTCATGCTGAAGTTCCTGGTTTGTGTGCCATTTACTGCATTTTTTTGTGCCCACTCTTTCTGCTGGCATCTTGGATGCCTCTCCTATCATCCATATGGCTTCCACTCCACTCGCCCGTTCTTTTTTTTTTTCCCCCTCTTCTTCCTTTTTACTTATCCTCCACTTGTTACAGCAATTACGTGTAATGGGAGTATAATTAAAAAGAGAGAGAATACATTCATCTGTCACTGGAATGTGGCCCATGCTACTACTGGTACACCATGCTAATATACTCTTTGTTCTTTTTTATAAAAGTCACAGCTTCTCCTACTCACATGTATTCGGTTCCAATGACACCTGCAAGGGTAACAAATACCCATTTCGTAACAATCATAGGTGCATTCGTCAGTAACAGTGGTGAGTCTGCATACAGTTGTGAGGTTCAGCAGTTGGTCGTCTGGTGTGGTTCTTAGAGCATACTCAAAATTGTGTAGATCATTTTAGGATGAGCCCCCCCCCCATACTGAATAGCATTGTCTGCTATGGGAACCTATTCATATCTAGAATCTTCAATCTCCCAGGACCTGAAATGAGAGACCAAAATAAACTCATAAAGGCCCAGCAGAGGGTGTGCTTCCTGCACCAGGTGAGGTAGTTCAACCTGCAACGGGAGCCGCTGATGTCTCTACACATCAATCATTGAGTCTCTTCTGTGTCCATCACAGTCTGGTTTAGACGAAGTATCAAAAATGACAGGAACAGGATACACCAAATAGGTCAACAGAAAAGAATAGTGTTATTCTGTCTATCCTCCAGGACCTGTATCCATTCTGAGTTGGGGGTGGGCAGGCAAAATCATCATAGCCCCCTTACACCTGGGCCGCAGCCTCCTGCTATTTCTCCCCTTTGGCAGGAACCACAGATCATTGTGCGCCAAAACAAATAAGTACAAGAACAGATTCTTCCCACAAGCCATCACTCTTATGAATAGCTGACCCAGTTGCTTTACCTTAGTTGCACTGTTATCTCCCTCCATTATCAAACAATACCTCATTGTAAATGATTCACTGTACTCATTGTACTGCATGTACTTATTTCTACAGTATGTAGCTTGCATTGTACTCTTGCACGTTTTATGTACTTATCAACCATATGTGTCTTGTCTAACCTGTGTACTGTATGTGTCTGCTGTATGTATGCAAGTCATTGACAACACATGACAAATTTCCTGTTCGTGTGAACATTCTCGGCCAATAAACCTGGTTGTGATTCTGATGCAGCTGTCGAGAGTGCAGCTAGGCTGTGAGAATGGCTATTTACAAATGTAAGTAGTATTGGAGCAAGAGCTAAACATCACATTTCAAACATAGCAGGAATCCTAACATGATATTCAAATCAAAAGACTAATGGCAATTTTTCCACTGACATGCAGGAACCAGGCTGTACCCGACCGGTACCGCAAAGAGAAAATAGTTACAGTGCAGTTCCAGCTCGCTTTGTTTTTCCACTGCAGAAGGGTCGGCTCTGTAAAGGCGATGCCAGGTTTGGAGAGCGACAGTGACGTAAAGCTGAAGAGATGCTTATTTACTATATGCTGATTTCCGCTAGCAGGTATAAGAATCGTCATTTAATGTTAGCATCTAACGCTAGCGGAAATAGCATTTGCTCGTGTAGATTTGCATCACTAAGCCATTCCGTTCAGCTTCTCTATTGTACTATTTTTAAGTTGGACGTTGAAAAATTCCAAGTTCTCTGTTATGTGAATGTTTCAATACATCACAATACTACTAGTAATGAATAAAATATAGAATATGTCCATTATTCCATCAGATAATCCATGCATATCCACACAGATCTCCGTGCATTTCGACCAATCAGATGGTGATGACGCAGCCAAATCGATTCACTCATGCTTTCGGCCCTGCTAATATGTAGGGACTTGTGAGAGCGGGTACAGTATGGCTTGCATAATTTACAATGAAAATCTGTACCTAGCAGAAAGTGGGCAGTACGGCTTGGGTACGGCTCAGTTCTTGGTGGTGGAGGAAAAATGCCAAAGGTGCTATTCTGTTGATAGCACTCCATGGACTGTGCCTGAGAAACCACAGGCACAAGACGTCATGCTGCATTTCTAAAGAGAACATTAGTGACCTGCAATTGAGTGTAGAGTGGTATAGGCTAGTATTGGGGTTTCAAGGGACAGATGGGTCTTGAGGTGTTTCTTGAAGATTGTGAGGGAATCTGATGTTATTTGGTGATGTTATTTGGCAACTCATTCCACCATCGGGGAACCACACGTGAGAAACATGCTGAGTGACACTTGGTGTAGGGATGTACAAGCGACGTCGGTCTGCTGACTGAAAAGGGAGAGATGGAATGCAGGTCTTGATAGAGATGGGTACTGATGCATTGAAGACTGTGAAAGCCGGCACCAGGGACTTGAACTTGATGTGAGCACCTGAAGGGGGCCAACGAAGCGAGACAAGGAGGGGAGTAACATGAAAGCATTTTGGCTGATTGGAAGTCAGACATGCTGCTGCATTTTTAATCATCTGCGATGGTTTGATAGCCCAAGTTGGTGAACCTGTCGGTGATGAGTTGCAGTAGTCCATTCGAGGTTTGACAAGTGCCTTGTGGTGTCTTTGATTCCTGCCTTTGGTCCTGTGTGCGTTTGCATGTTCTCATGCTTGTGTAGAGGTACTCAAATATTCCCCATATCCCAAAGACATGTGATTTACATGGTTTACTTTCTCTCAGTTGTTTATAGTGATTGTATGCCTTGTGATATCTCATCCAGGGTATACCTAGTGTCTTTTTTGTTCTCTCTGTTCCAGACACTTCTGTCCTGAAGTGTGTGGTAGCCAATAAAACAGCAAAACAATGAAAGCTTGCACAAAACTCGACGCGTGAAACTAGAATAGATGACAGTCAAAAATAAAAGCTATATGAAACATTTATTTGCCTAAAAAGACATCTCCAACATAAATACTTAACATATAGACATTTCTTACATTCATTTTTCTCCTCTAAAATATTAACAACTTTAAAAAAAAATGTGTCACTCGTTGATTTAAGCAGCACAAGTATGTTGCAATCAATACCCCCATCATTCCACAGATTGCAGGAGATATGCTTTCTTTAAGGAATAAACAAAATATATCCTAATTGTCAAGCAACTATATTCATATATGAATTCAGTACATCATAGTCAACAACATATATTGCATAACAGCACAGTTTTTTTTCTGCATGTAGGAATTTCTGACAAAATCACACCGAATGGAAAGCAGGTAATTAAGCTGTATAAGTAAAAAGACTGTATTCCAAACTGATTAATTACTAATTTTCTTTAGCTTTCTAACCCACAGACAAGTACTACCAGGTTGGTCTAATATTTGCTTTTATAGTCAAATGTGGACTAGGATGGATATTTCCACACAACTAACAACAAAGAAACCATCTAATGGCAGACCAATAGCAACACAAAGGTGGCAATATTATGCAAAAATGGGTAGTTGGAAATTTGCAAGGTAAGGCAGTTAAATGCTGTTATCCTGAATTATTTTCTGTAGGACATTGTTTAATTATTGATAAGGTATTCAAGAGAAGCAAAATTTTAATCACTGTAATGAATTCAAGAACTCAGTGCCCTTTCGTTGGGCATTGTCTATGTTTTCTGTCTGTCAAAATGCTGATGCATACAAGAATTCCACATTATCTTGTAATATATTGGTCTGATGATTATGCAGTCTGTAGGTCAATAAATACACAAGTCATTGTTTAATGTATTGTTCACAATGAATGAGTACTGAACAAGCAGTAATATAGCGTACAAAAACCCTGCAAGATAATCAGCCTATATTCTTTGGGAAAATTCACTTATACTGTTGTTCTTTCCAAAATTTATTATTATTATTATTATTATTATTATTATTATTATTATTTTTATTATTTATTTAAATGCATTTCCCAAGTCATGTTAAAGTGTTTGATCAGAATTTCAGAAATTTCAAAACATTCTAGCTATTTCTAATAACTAATTCTGATAAAACAACCACAGATATCACTTGCTAAACTATACATTTGAAAACAATGTATTATGGCTCAATGATGTAACTCTTTTAGAGTATTTTTGTTGTATTTTAGCTTCTTTTACTTTGTCATTTAAATTGTTTCTAGGATCTACAAAATATGATTTGTACAAAAATGCAGTGCCTTGCAAAAGTATTGAACCCTCTTTTCTAAGATTTGCTGACAAATAATTGATTTTGACTCTCAGAAGATTACTATGTGAGTTTGCAAAAAATAAATGAGTTTGTATAAAATTACTGTCAGGAGGAATATGTGTGTATCATTAGTAATTCGGGCAAGCCTGATCATTTTAAGGTACTGTAGGTTCAATACTTGTGCAAGGCAGTGTGATAGTATCTGTGCAGTAATCTGTAAAATATTCCCCCAAAGTTTTGACTTTTTTCTGTATACTAAAATTTCATCTTCATTGCAACAGTATTGATAGATGAAGGTGATGTAACAAATATCATGCACCATTTACATTTTTTATTCAATTATATAATTTATATAAACATAAATGCAAATTGCATGTGTGGAAAAAGTAAGTGCACCTCTACATTTATCAATACCACAAATATATAAAATTAGAATCAGATGCACCACATCAGGTACGAATGATCAGAAGATTGTTAGAGAAGATCTTGACGTAACCTGACTTATTTTAACATTTTGTTTAATTTGCCCTTTGCTTTTGAAGTGTGTGGTATCACCGTGCAATGATCAATTGAGCACTCTCACACCTTCATAAAGAAGGTTATACTGTAGATGTCTGTCAGTCTGGGAAGGGATTTTATAAAACCTCCAAACAATTGGTAATCAGCCATTCACTGTCTGGAAGATAATCTAGAATCATCGACATTCATCATCAAGTGGAGGAGATCTTTAAAAAACGACCAACTTCTGCTGGTTCAGCCTTAAAGAAGAAAGCAAGATGGTGAAATGAGTCCCATAAATGTCATCAGTGGACCTACAGATAGTTCTTGCTGCAACTGACGTCAAAATGCATGAGTCTACCATTAGAAAGAGGCTGCACAAATGAGGTGTGTTCTAGGAGGGAACATCTGCTGTCCAGAAAGAACATCAGGACAAGACTAACGTTTGCTCATGAACATCCAGGCAAAGTCCAAGACTTTTGGTGCAGTGTGCTCTGGACAGACAAAGCTAGATAGAGTTTTTTGACTACAGTAACAGTAGCCATTTTTGGCAAAACCCAAACACAGAATTTGACTAAAACAACCTGATATGATCTGCAAAGCATGGTGGTGGAAATGTTATAGTTTGGGGCTGCTTTGCTGCATCATTTCCTAGGCAGCTCACCATCACAGAATCCACTATGAATTCTTCATTGTACCACTGGGTGCTTGAGGGTAATTTGAGATCATCTGTCAGAAGTCTGATAACAATGATCCTAAAAGGAAAAAATGCAGGGTTCTAGAATGGTCAAATCAAAGCCTGCATCTAAATCCCCTGAAATGCTGCTTGGGAATTTCAAATGCGGCGTGCACGTTTTTTTAAAAAAAAAAAAAAGTAATTCAAACATTGCAAAACTTAAGGAATATCTTTCTCCCAGTTAATGTGAGAAACTGGTAGACCTATTTGAGACTGCTTCTGCCACATGCCAGCGATTAGAGCTAAAAGTGTACATACTTTTTAAATAGAAGAAAAGATTTTTTTTTAAATTCAGTTACATCACCAGTATCAAAAGATACTGTTTAAATGAAGGTCACATATTAATATATCCACATATGTTTAAAAAGATAAACCTTTACATAGGATGTGCTTACTGTTTCCATGGCTGTATCTGTACTACTGAAATTTCAGTTGATAAACATATGGGGGAAAATTATATGTACCTAAGTAAAACTGTTTCAATTAAGTAAAATAGTATTTAATCAAATCATACTCATTATACACTCTGTACAAACATAAAGTGGAAAAAGAACAGAATGTGTTGTGTTTCTAATAATAAAAAGTATGAATCTTATACTAAATGTTCAAGCGATTCTTATCTTTTTGTCCAGGTATGTTGAAAGCATTGGATGTTGTTGGGATAACTTGTTTGACAAGCCTCTTCGATGTTGCATGGAAAGTGGGTGAGATGGGCTAACAATCAGGGACAGTGATTCCTATTTGCTATAGGCACGTGTTCTGCCTGTAGGGGGGATTCCACTTCTCAGCCTCACCGGGAAAGCCTTTGCCACTATACTGGAGAGGAGGCCCAACCTAATGGTCAAACATAGGATCTCTGGCCATAGAACATTGGACCAACTCTCCTCCTTTGCACTGTTTTGTGAGGGCAGTGAGAATAGGCAGTGGGAGCTGCTGTAGAAAGAAAGGGTACCAAGGTTACTACCATGTGCGATTTGGTCCCTATCTGCATACTTAGCACATGATCACAGCCATTCAGAGTTGGGTTGGTCTGCACCTAGAGCGTGTCTTGTCTCCATATATTTGTGATCTTCATGACCAGGATCTCAAGGCACAGACGTGGTTGGAAGGTTATCCAGTATTATAGGATGGTGACATCCCTGCTATTTGCAAGAAATGTTGTACCTTTAGACTGTTTCTACCAGAACCTCTAGCACACACTTGAGCATTTCAGTACTCAGTGGGAAGCAGCAGGGTTGGGATACAGCATCTCCATTTCCAAGGCCATGGTAAAGAGTGGAATTCTTCTTTCTGGTGAGCTGTGGTTGGAAGAGCATCCAGTTGAGAGGCTGGTGACATCTCTGCTACTTGCAGATAATAATGTGCTCTTAGACCCGACCAGAACATCTGGCACACCCTTGAGCTTTTCAGTGCTGAGTGTGAAGAGGCAAGGTTGAGATACAGTGTTCCAAATCTAAGGCCATAGCATTTTCTTGGAAAAGTAGAATTTCTGATGGCAGGTGGGGGGGTGGGGGGGGGTGCTGCCCTTAATGGATTTTGCTTTCCTTGAGATCTTTCTTACAAGTTTGACAGATGGATCAGTGACTTTAGGTGAGTATTAAGTTCTCAGGCAAGGTTTGTGCTTGACCAGTCTACATCCCTGTTTTCATGAGAATGTGGGTAATGTACAAGAACAAGTTTGTAGAAAAGGCCACAACATGGTTTCTATGCAGGATTGCTGTGCTCATTCTGCATGACAGAGAGAGGGATTCAGACATCTGGAGGTGCCTCAAAGTACCACTACTGACCACTGGAATACGTAACGTCAGCTTGCCATCTAAATGACTTCCAAGGGAATTATTTCAGGAATGTTGAATTCAGTGGAGACCCAAGTAAAGATGCTGGAGAGATTATATCATATGACTTGTAAATATCTGAGAATCCCCCCCAGAACCAGCTAGAGTCTATGGCTATGGAAAAAGACTATTGCTCTGACCAATTTGGCACTCTACCACCAAGGCCCTCATCAGGAAAAATGAATTGAAGATGAATAAATGGATCAATGAATAATTAAATGAATATCATCTTAAGGCAAGACGACTCAGGGAGACAAAGGTGCAGACAAAAGCTGCTGCTTGTTTCCTGAATGAGGGACCACTATACATAAGAGGGTCTTTAATGTGCAGATGCATCCCCTTTTCTCCACCTTGGTTTCTTCTCAGCATCAGTTTCCAGTCATGTCCCATTGATACATCTTGAGGCCAAAAGTAAGAAACCATGGTTCCTGTTGGCCTCCATGGTGCTGATTGGCCCCTTCTAGTGCAGGGCAACATTCCAACAAGGCTGTCAACCTCCTACCCAAACACCATGCTGAAGTTAGCAGCTTCAACCTGGCTGGCCTTGCTGACTGGCACAACTACCGACTTCTTACTGGCATTGAGTGGCAGTTGGCACAGAGAGGATGTCAGCTTCATCCTAACTAGTGTTCAGTGTAGTGACTGGCAAAGATCGGCTAGTAGCTTCATCCTTTCAGTGTCATAACTGGCACAGAGGGGCTGGCAATGATCCCTCAATACATGTATGGTGACCTAAGCCGTAATTGCTGCAGCATATCAACTAGCCAAGTACCTTCCACTACGTGAAGTCCTGCTGCTCAGCTGCAGTGACTCCACTCACCCACATCCTCCACCAGTGTTGTGGGGCAAGGAGACTCAGGAGACAAAGGTGCCAACAAAGGACCCTCAAAGGGCAAAGTTTATTACGTTGAGGGACCGCTACAAAAAGATGGTCTACGAAAAGGTCTATGAAAAGGTGACAGTCTGTTTGGGGTAGTCCTCCTAGGGTATTCCCTTTGCAGGTAGAAGGAAGCAGTTCCTTCAAGGTGGTCCTCCTTCCATCCACCTGCAGTAAACACACATATGCATCTCACTGCCGTCTTTTTCCTCCTTGGCATCTTCCCAGCGTGGACTTTAAGCCCTGCAAGGGAAGCCTGCCAGCAGTAAGGAGGCCAAGCTTCTAATGGCCTGACTGGTGTTGATCGCCCCCTTCCAGTGCATGGTGGCTTACCAACAGGGTCACTAAATAACACGTATATATATATATAGGTCTCAGAGCAGCCTGAATTGTTCATAGCGCAGACTCAATAAGGTGCCAGGATATCCCTTAGAGATTCAGGTCCATGCTGACATGATTGCATTACGCAATGGCTGCAGATTTGTCGGCTGCACATTGATGCTGCAAATCTCCCATCCCACAACATCCCAAAGGTGCTCCATTGGATTCATTTCTGGTGACTGGCTCGGCCATTGAAATACAATGAACTTATTGACACGTTCATGGAACCAGTCTGAGATGACGTGTGCTTTGTGATATGGCGTATTACCTTGCAGTAAGTGGACTATTGGTAAATCGTGGCCATAAAGGGATGCCCATGCCCAACAGCAATACTCAGATAGATTGTGGCATTTAAATAATGGGATTGGTGTTAAAGGGCTCGATGATGTACCAAGGAAACATTCCCCACATTATTACACCACCACAATCCTGAACTGTTGACACAAGGCAGGTCTTGTTCATGGATGAATGCTGTTTATGCCACATTCTGGAGCTGCTGTCTGCTTGATAGTGCAGAAATCAAGATTCATCAGACCAGGCAATGCTTTCTTAATCTACAGCTGTTCAGTTTTGGAGAGCCTGTGTCCATTGTATTGTTTTTAGCTGACAGGAGTGAAACCAAATGTGGCCTTCTACTCTTGTAACCCATCCACCTCAAGGTTGTGCATTCAGCGATGCTTTTTGTTTGCCACTGTTATAAAGTGTGGTTATTTGAGTACCTTCCTGTCAGCTTGAAACATTTTGACTATTCTCCTCTGACATCTCTCATCAGCAGGGCATTTCTGCCCACAGACCGGCCACTTGCTGGATGTTCTTGCTCCTGAGGATCATCAGACATTACATTAAATGATTAAATGATGGTCTTAAAATAGATCCCTATATACTATTGCATTGCAGTCTCCACTAGTATCAGTTATTCAAGATCTTTAACAGTTGTACATTTCCCCAAGTTGAAAATGCAAAATGTACTGGCAGCTGTCAAGATCGGTTCATATACACAATGAACTTACATTTTCATGAACTAAATATATGCATTAACAGGACACATTTGCAAAAATATATGTGTATCCTGCATGTATTTGTATGCAAATTTGCTGGTTACTTAGGCAGTATTTTTCACTGAATTGACAGTTTGCTGGTTGATTTTTTGAGAGTTCTCTCTTTTTGTTGGAGCAGTGCATATTTGTGTTTTGTTTCTAACTGTTCCAAAATTGAATGTTGACTTTTATGGATCATATTTGGTCTGTGTCTAAGGGATTTTAGACAAGTAGATAAAAGGCAACCTGTGGAAAACAGTTCATTTTTGTTTGCGAAAGGTTTGTAATTCATGATGTGGCAGTCCTTCTGAGATATGCATCTGCATGTGCTCATGGAAATCCTCAGTTTGACTGAATGTGGCTAAGCAGACGGAGCACGTGACGGCTGTTTCATCTTGGCAACCCCCCTCAGCCGCCTCACCCATCTCCATGCAAGGTTCTGCTCCATCTTCAGCTCCAGCTCCCCCAGTCAAAGGAATGGCAGGAGCCACCATGCCAGCACCAGGTTCAGGAACAGTAACGGGAACTGGATCAGAGGCTGGTCCTTTGCCTACTCGAGTAACCAAACTGGCACCTGGGCCATGCAAACACATGTGCCTCCCCAGCAGAGTCTCATGGGAGAATTTCTTCCTACAGACAAAACACTCAAAAGACTTCTCTTTGTGATGCAGGCGCATGTGGACGTTGAGGGAGCTCTTCTGAGTGAAACGCTTGTTGCAGGTACTACACTGGTAAGCTCGGACTCCTGTATGTGTCACCATATGCTTTATTAAATAATCCTTCAGGGAAAATGAGCGCCAGCAAATGTTGCATTGGTGTGGCTTCTCTCCTAAACAAGCACAGAAATGCATCTAGTTAATAAGGGGCAGTATAGTGGTGGAAGAAATTCTGAGAACTTTATTTTTAACCAAAATGATGTGTGGCTACTATAACTAAAAGTAAGAGAGGAATGCATTTGTTCCTCTGTGTGAAAGCTTTTAGTCATAGTCATGTAGCCTTTCTGTGCACTGCCACTTTGTGCTACTCCTCAACTTCTTTGTAAGAGGTTAGACACCTTCAAAACAAACAAAAATGCATAAATACACTAATATATACATATATGATTTTGGTTCACTTTTTCTCATGTATGTGGCTCTAATATAAAAGTCCAGATAAAAAGGATGACATAAGTGTGCAGTTGTTTCGCTCCATGTTGGTTTCAGTAATTGAACATCAGTATAGTAGATAACAGAAGATACATCAGTGAAGCACAACAGTGAAGCACAACAAAGAAGAACAATGAGAGGAACGCAAAGGAAGACTCTAAAGAAAGAAATAAAAGGCCTTTTTAAACCTGTTAATAATGACGCTGCTGGACCACCATCAATGCCGGAGTCAGCTAGTATTAGTGGAGGCGGAAACAATATTCCGAATTTGAAACCTGTTGGCCCTTCATCCTTGTCAGTGTTAGCTAACGTTAGCAAAGGGCGAAATAATATTCCAAATTTGAAACCCGTATGTTTCAAAGGGCCGCTTTGCTGTTGGATTTTCAAGTATCGCGGAGACATCAGGCCAATGCATGTGTGCTGTCTGGGTATGTATTAATAAGAGAATTTAAGTAACGGAAAAGTTACTTTCTCTAGTAACTAATTACTTTTATATGCAGGAATTGGTAAAGTAATTGAATTACTTTTCAATGAACTAGTAACTGTAATTAATTACAAATTTTCAGTAAAATACACAACACTGCCCATAAGTAGACTATATATTTTATAGCTTAACACTATATAGTACCCTTTGTAGTGTATCGATTCAGCCAATGCCCATAGCAGTAATGTTAAATAATGCTATTATTTCTCTGGTCCTCTTAAAATTGCCTTGATTTTATTTTTCAGGTTATATCACCCTTTTATGCTGTAGGTAGGGCCTCATCAATGACTATATGATTATATGTGTTGCTCAGGATATGATTATATATATTTGTGTGTATGTGATTATATATGATTATGTATGTGTGGCTCAGTAGGCTAAGCTTCTGTGCCTGTAATTGGAAGGTCACCGGTTTGAGCCCGGCCTCAGCAGAATAGTCACATGTCCACAGGCTCTTCAGCAAGACCCTTAACCCCCAGCTCTGTGGTGGCAGTAGGTGGCTGCCCTTCACTGTGACCCCCAAGCTTGCTCTCATCTGTGTGTGTCTCATAGAGAACAGGATGGGGTAGGTGAAAAGGGAATTTCCCCACAGGGATCAATAAAAGTGTTGTTGTGTTCTATATATCCAATGCATTCTGTCTATAATTACTTTAGACACCTCGACCAGCAGGTTTTATATAATGGAATCTTCTGGTATGGCATAAACATCTAATTTCTCTGCCTCTAATAACAAAGTAGCATCTTGTTGCAGCCTTATCAGATGAAACTGTATCAGGTGCACAGGAAACCTTGTGAAATATACTGTAGTATGCAAATGATGGCAGAGAAATAGAAGACTGTAATCTGTTTCTGTGCCTTGGCCATATTTGATGATATATGTTTTTTTTCATAGACAAGTAAGTCTTATTAATCACACAACGAGCTAATGTCATTAGTACCATCATAAATTCAGTGTTGATGTTTATAGCCTTAAACCTATGACAACATTGTGATTTCTCAATGACTCCCTTCCAGAATTTGAACACTCTTGGCCTTCAACATATCTACGAAACTTCATAATGTATTTTACTATACAAAAAAAAGCTTAGTTTTAGTTGTATATTTGGTGATTGGTGCATGTGGAAGCAGAAATTGAATTATTTTTTTGAATTGCTTAAGTTACTTGTGTAGTGTGTCTAGTTACTTACCAGTGTGCACAAACATGTGCTTCACATGATTCTGTTTGGCAGTAAAAGTCTTGTTGCAGAGAAGACACGCATAGGGTCTTTTTTCCCCCTTTCCGGCGCCTTCTCCAGAATGTCCCACTTTAGGCTGTGTTGAGGACTGCTGTCCCAAAAACTGAGCAGAAAATTGGGGTATGCTGGAATGTGGCACAGCCACAAAATGAGGCTTCTGACCCATTAGAGGTTGTGACAGTTTAAAAAAGAAGGGTTTGTCACTGCTGGTTGACTTTGTGCAAAACACAGTGGGTTGGTAGCTTTTGTCCGCTGTGCCAATAACCTCTGAGTTACTGGTAAGGTTTGTTGGCATCTTCACATTTTTCTGAGCAAAATGCTGATGTGCAGCATCAGATATTGATTGTAATACAGTAATATTACAAGGGAGTTGTGAATCTATTTTTTCATCCAGCTGAATAATGGCACCTTCATCCTGAGACTTAGTTGTGTCCTCACTATCATTCATTTGCTTTGGTGATGTTGTCCTGACTTCAGGATGCAGTGGATACTCCCAGAGAACATTTGATGGCAAACCTTCTGTCCTTCCTACCTGATGAAATCCATTTGAAGAGCAATACTCAACGGGCATATTTTCAGTGCAGATGGATGAACTGAAATCTAAATCAAAGCTGTCCCCTTTGGGCTGACTATCTGTTTTATCTAAATCCTCAGTACACTCCTCACACTCTTTGGAATGATGTCGGTTATATCCCTGGGTCTCCTGCAAACTGTGAATACCTGCCGTTTGTATGCGAACTGGCCGCGGTTGTTTTCGGCAATGGATAGTCTCTGAATTGGAAAGAAACTTTTCATATTTTTGCACCCCCACATTGGTGTGATTGTTGTTGTCGTGTTCTTTGGAACTAATGGAGACATCATTGCCCTCATAGTCTTCCTTGGGACTGTTCTGCAACAAGAGGTTGGAGCAAGCAAAATTGTGTTCTAGAGTGTCATGTATGTGAAGCTGCATAGAGATGGAATCTGTGTCGCTGTTGGGGCTGAATGTTTCAGACTCTAATGTGCCTTTGTAGGTGTTCAGATCTGAGTCCTTGGAATTCAGCGGGATGCTCTTGATCTCTCTAGAGCTCACGTTTTGTGAAACAATACGAGTGCACTCATCAATAGCAGACTTAATCTGCAATATGCTTGCAGCAGTTAAGATCTGAAGAGCCTCTGATTGGGAAACATGAAGCAGTCCACTGTACATGAAGTCAATCAATCTCTGAATGGACTGGACCGATACCACTGATGGGATCTCAATGTCACTGTAGCCCAAGAGCAGCTTGTCCTGGAAAAAGGGGCTGCCTGCAGCCAGCACACAGCGATGGGCCCGAAGCATGCTCCCGTGGATCCGAATGGTCACGTCGCAGAACTGACCACGGTTGCGCTGCTCGTTGAGGGTCTGGAGAATAGACTTACTGAAATTATGAATGCTGATATTGTGAATGTGCTCAGTCATCCCCTTGCAACTGATGTAACCTGTGACACACAACAGAGCACAAACAAAAACCAGGCAGAAATCCATTAGATTTATTTTTCTATTCATCAACCCAGCCATTTTCAAAAAAAACATTTATCCAGTTTAAGTTTCCAGGGGACATTTAAGCATGGAGACCAGACATAACCTGAATTCAGGAACCATACTGCCATATTCTTTATTTTAAAACGATAACATTATGTAAATCTACCTATAAATGACATCTCCTATTCTCATTTGTTAATAGGCTACATTCACATTTACATAAGAACATAAGGTTCTTATGTTCTTAGATATGGTAATGGAAACATATACAACCAAAGGCATCAAGTACAACTCATTGTCAAGTAGTGATTGGTCAAAAAATTGGATTGCTGCCAACAGCACACACAGTCCTATGTATATAAGCAGCACACTATGACCTGACATCATTTGTCAATTAAGACATTGTATGGTTAATAATTGAGTTGACATTCAATGTGCGGAGAGTCTGAAAGGGTAGAATCGGCAACAGTGACATTTTTATTAGTAATTAAACGTTTTTCTTGTCAGCACACTTTTATTTTACTTATATATTAGTAACAACCAAATGGTCAATTGACTTAAACCGTTAGCTATCTGAAAACCTTTTTCTAATATTTTCATGCCTCTGTTTTGACTGTATTAATAGGACTGCAGGGTGACATAGATGTTTAAAAAATGTTTAGTTATTCTAGCATTTGCATACTGGAAGAAAACATAATACCCTTTAAATTGGGTGCAAAACAGATTTGTGTTAAAGTAGTGTTGAAATTCTGGGTCACGGTCTAGGACACAGAAATAAGAGGCCAGATATCAGACACATGGATCACCAACTCTCTATCTATGTAAATCACCCCCCAATCCACAAATGCATATTAGTTATTCAAAGAAATATATGGGGAAATTCTTTAGTCCATATTTTATTCAGCATGGGGGCAGCATGTGGCTCACTGGTCTAAGCCTCTGCACCTGTGATCACGGGTTCAAGCCCAGCCTCTGCACCTGTGATCACGGGTTCAAGCCCAGCCTCTGCAGAAAGGTCACATGTCTGTGGGCCCTAGAGTGAGGCTCTGTACCCCCAGCTCCAGGGACTCAACCAGCATGGCTGACCCTGTGCTGTGCCCCCCACCCCCCAAGCTTGCTCACATCTGTCTGTGTGTCTCATGGAGAACAAGATGGGGTAGGCAAAAAGAGAATTTCCCTACAGGAATTAATAAAGTATCACTATCCCGTTATAATGCAATACACCTTCATATTTTTCAATCACACATTAATTGTCTTTTGCTAGTATTGCTACACACTACTCTGTTCTTTGCAGTATTTGGAGTGGAAATGGAAAGTCGTCCATACCTTTGGCCTTAATTACTGTGCATAATCTTTGGTTTTGGCCGTCAGCCCAGGGTTGTGTTACTTACTGCATTACCAAAAAATTCAATCTGATATGTGCACAGACTGACATAGTTAAAAATGCTTTATTCCTAACCAATAGTTGAATATGACTCTATTAGCCAACTTAAAGGAGCACCACCTGAAATTTGTAAATATGTCACGTGTTAAGGTTTAGTAGAGGAATAGAATCCCTTATCACACCTAAAATACTTTATAATTTTTTTTTCAATTTTTATTGTAACGAAATAACAACAGTTAAATTTACATTCTGTATTCTTGCGTTATATAAACTGTACAGTAAATGGACACAGTCTTTATGTTCTGAAATTCTGCGGAAGAAGCCATAATTTCATTATTTAACTGTCATTTTAAGTTAGATTTTTAGTGACTTTTGAAATAAATGCAGCTGCAGGTTTTATTTGCCAAATTTTCATTTTATTTATTCAATAATTGCAAAACATTTAGCTGCACTCACATAAAGAAAAGCTAACTTACATAAAACATGTTAGGTAGAGCAAAGAAGCGTGTGGAGTGTGTCATGTCTCACACAAGCAGCAGGTGGCACTAATGAGGTCCTGGTATATCTTGAAATTTCTTAGGATTACTTTATGAAGAGAAGGGAAATGGCTGTTTAATCAAGCTAGTATCAGCTGTCTTTTGTTTGGGGTGGATTTGACTATGGAAAAAACTGTAATTTCAATGCGACAAGTTTTCCTCTAAGAAACCTTTTCTTTAGACAAATTATCACTAATTGAATATGACATTGAAAACTTAACTTATAAGTGCACATGTCCTTTTCTTGTCTTTATTACTTTGAACATAATATAAGAATTATGTGTTTGCACATTTACTGCTTTTAATGTACGCAGGCAGTGCTCTTGGTCTAGGAATATTTTTTGTTGAGAGATCTATAATGTTACTTTTCCCTTGTACTAATACCAGAATCTAACTATATATGGCTCCCTGTTCTTGAATATCTTTCACATTAGCCCCAGCAGCTCATAATCTTAGAAGGCGCTCCATTTACTCAGTGTGAGGTTGCACCAAAGCTTTGCCCAGCTGCTCCAGGAATATACACCTTAATTTTCCCACTACTTCTGTCCATGTCGATTTCAGTATGTAAAACAAAGGCATCATCAGCAATCACACCAATAAGATTGTAGAAGAGGTGAATCAGCAGTCTTGTTCTGGTGGTCGTGATCTTATTCAGGTTGTCCTGATTTTTTTCAGTGCTCCTCCAGCGGGATTCCCAATGTAGACCTGCATGCTCCATGTATCACTCAACCAAACGTCACTAGACACCCATAATTTTATGCTATACCTTGTTGGATTATTTGGTGTACCTTTTCTGAAAGGGAAGAACCAGTTAAATGGACCCAGCCACTTATCTACAGTAGTATTGGGCCCAGGATTGTAAAGGATAGGTTAGTACTGAATCCACTGAAGACACCTTGCATTGTAGCCAGTTTGTCAGGTTCACATGATCCGGTTCTTCTTTCTTTTTCATCAGAATGTATCACTCTGCAGAATAGATGGACTGACTCCAGTAACATTGTTACTAGAAATATTTCCCTGTCAATGTCAACCACTCCACAGACTAGCTGTTGCTTCCCCACTTGATTTATAGACCTCAGGCAAAATTAACAACCCAAGGTTAGCATTGAATGGATCACATCAGTCCTCTCTATAAACATGTCTACCGTCAACATTAGTCATGATGGATAAACCTTCAGGATGAGCAAGTCAAATGAAGATCTGATATCTTGGATATGGGTAAAACGATATTTTGTAGGTCGCTGTAAAATTTTTTTTTATTTGCTGGGCAGAATCTTCAGTGACTTGAATTTGGGGAGAAAGATCATGATTTAAATGAATGAATGAATGAATGAATAAATAAATAAATAAATAAACAATCATCTTCATCTGAGAAACACAGTAATGAAACCTGTAGTGTGAGGTGTAGAGCTGGGTGGGGATCGGTGCCATTGACCTTAGGTGAACTGAACTGTCAGTGCTGTCACTCTAGCTTCACACCCCCTTGTGGAATTGGAGTGCTGCTGTTTCAGGGACTCCCCATGCCTGCGTTCCCACCTGCCTCTCCCTCCTACTTACTGTATGCTGCCATAGCCTTATCTGCTGGAGCTTACAAATTGCACTCACCTACAGTAACTGTTTGTGCTGCCTCTAGTCTCCCCTAATTTGGCTAATTGCACATTTTATTTCCCCTTCTCCTCCTGGGCTGTGCTGCCTGGAGACCCCAAAATATCGAGATACTCTGTCTGCCCTGCTGCCTGCGACATCTCCACTACTTGTGGTGTCTTTCCGGCCTGCTCGCCCTTCTGCATGTGACGTCTCTCCTATATGTCCTGCTGCTGTACCGCTGTTCGTTCTGCTATCTGAAGCAGCACCACAACCTGCATGTCATCACCTGCCTGTCCCCCACTTTGAGACTGAAATGTTAAAATTGGGACAGTGTGAATTGGGACTTCGCCATCTTGCTTATTTGACTTTGACTTCCCCTGCTGCCCCCTGGAGGATGGGCTCCCCCTCTGAGTCTGGTTAGGGGTAGGGCTCCCTCTGCTGCCCCCTGGAGGATGGGCTCCCCCTCTGAGTCTGGTTAGGGGTAGGGCTCCCTCTGCTGCCCCCTGGAGGATGGGCTCCCCCTTTGGGTCTGGTTCCTTCCAAGGTTTCTTCCTTCTACAGAGTTTTTCCTTGCCACTGTCGCCACTGGCTTGCTCACTGCGGGGCTTTGGGCAGGGATAATGTAAAGCACTTTGAGACAATTTAATGTTGTGAAAATGCACTATGCAAATAAAATAAAATTGAACTGAACTGAATTGAATAATCAGGATCTGCCTCCACATTGCTGTCACAGAGCAGTGACAGCACCACACAGGCAGTGTAATATTAACTCCACCTTTTGAATTTGGTAGAATAACAGCATTCAACCAAAAATGGCTGGGACTGTGCACATGAACCACTTTATCTGTTTGCTCTTCCTTTTGATGTCTGAAAATGTGAAATGATATGGGTTTGTACCACCAGGATGACATCGACAGAAAAAAAAAAAGAAATAAAGGAAAAAGTGTGAAAACGATATATGAACTACATCACAGTGTTTGTTTTATGTGAACACATTTAACATATCATAATGGGAGAAGATGTGTATCAATGTGTGCACATGGTATAAAAACTGAAAAAAAATCCTTGGCACCATTATTGACACCCTTTAGAACAACTTAAGCCAGTTTCTCAAAAGAAACTAGATTAATCATTTGCAGTGCAATTTGAGTCTCATTTGATAGATTTCTGGTTCTCATATGATATGAATTAGCTGAATATAAATGTTAATGTCGAACACTAAACATTCTGATTTAGTGTTTGCTGACAAAAGACCCGCCTGAAACCATGAGGAAAAACTGCAATTACCAAACATAAAAATATGAAAAGCCAACATCACGTGAAACATCCAAAAAGCTTAACGCTAAATGGGAACAGTGTGCAGTGATAGTTTGTGCCGTACCATACCCGGCACACAAATTGAGAAGGGATTTATGGGTAAAGGCCAAGGAGGGACACACAGAAAGATAAACACAGAAAGGCATGTCTGATCTTTATCCAAACCAAAAATATTGTTTTTTATTTTTTTAAAAGGAGAAGGGAGATAGTGCTCAACCAACAGTTAAATATAATGAAAATTCCAAAATGTTTTGGGGTCGCTCCTTTGTTGCCTCTGGAGGCCTTGGACTCATTACGGGTATTTCAGAGTGAAATGTGCTACCCAGCTAGATATGAATCAAAGATCATGATTCCTTCAGCAGGACAATGACCCAAAACATACAACTGAAAGCACAGAAGGATGGTTAAACAAGAAAAGCTGGTCTGCCTTAAACTGTCCAGCAATGATTCCCTGCTCTCAATTTAATTTAAAACAGGGAATCCATTCTAACTGAAAAATAGGATAAACATCCGGCTGAAAGGTGGGATACATTTACGACCGTGTGAAACATTTGGTGCCGAAATACTAAAGGAAACGGCTGAAAATGTTCCAGCAGATCTCAATGAAAATAAAACAGAACAATATGGATAATTAAACTGCAACAATAACTAAATAACTGGCAGATAATCCATGCCGATCTGATGTAAGGCGAGCACTCACACACACACACACCCTGTGGATATTTTTCCAAGCACTAAATTACATATTTTTGGAAACCAGAGTACCCAGGAAGAAAGACAGGTAACATGTGAACGTGTAAAATCTGTAACATGTTTGTGTAATAAATCTATTCACTTCCAAGCTTTTATTCTGCACAGGGTGGCGTGAGGGCCTGGAGCCTATGCCAGGCAGCACCGGGCACACACCCTGTATGAAACGCCCGTCCATCGCAGGGAATAAACACACACACACACACACATATTCATACAACGGAACATTTACAGATGCCAGTCAGCCTAACTGCAAGTATTTCTATTGCCGGAGGAAGGTGAGGTACCCAGAGGAACCGCGTGATGTGGAGAAAACATGCAAACTCAACACACACACATAGGCGAGGTGGGGTTCGCAGCCCTGGAAGTGTGAGGCGACAGTACTACCCAGGTTTAGTTACACTATAGTAAAGAAATGTTTAATTAAATAATAATTATTTTTTTACTTAATGTTTAACACAGGCTTCAACCTACATGGTGGCTGATGGCCTTTTAAAGCGGAATGTAAATAATAAAGCATTCTGTCAGACAGACACTGAATTTGGGTTTAGCGTATCTAGGATTAATTTTCACTAGCTGAAGTGTGTTAGTAGTGAGTATGTTACTACTGTGCCATGACATAAAATTATCGCAATGCAATTTATCACAATTTATTTACATTTATGGGCGAGCCACTAGCTACAACTTGGGCACAAATATACCTGCAAATAAAAACGAATAAGCAGGCATTGCTCAGAACTAATCAGATACTGTAAAGAAGAATCAACCGGGGTCATTTTACTATCAGTTCTGTTATATATTGTCATCTCTCTATAAATATTAAAATGATCAAGCAGCTAAATCTTCTAGTAAATTTGGAATAATGCATTAATGTGGGGAAACAACCCCAGTATCTCAACAACATACATCCTCACAACTACAGAATATACTTGAAGATTTTCTGTCTTGGCTAAATGCCAAAAGTGGGCAGACAGTCAGTTCTGAGGAACAAAAGCATGTTTTTAATAAGATCATTTTCTGTCATTTAAGAAAAAAAAATAGTAGTAAAACCATTTCTATCTGAAATATTTCCATATGCTTAAGGGGTGAACTGAGGTAAACCGAAGGGAGCAGAGATCCATCACAGACAGCCAGTCCCTCGGTGCTATACACAGACAGCCCATAGCTAACAACTATAATTCCATTTTAACTGCGACACAGTGGCTGAATGGCAGCCGGCTCCTACCTGCTGTGAATGCTAATCAGCCGAGGAGTCTCCCACTCTCTCCTCGCTTGTGCTCTGTAGCCTTTCAGCAAGAGTTCTTTCCTTTATATCTATAGATCCTTTCAACAGCAACCTTTCCTTCTCTACCCAGAAAATTGCTGCTTCGGTCCCTTTTGTTTTCTATGAAAAATAATAATGTGTAACTATAATGTACTTATTATTTTTTTTTTCCAAAAAGAGGCAAAAAATGACTTGGAGGGCGTCTCAGCTTCCTCTTATTGATTCTGTATTCTCTCACTTTTATTACTCTTCCCCCCCCTCTCTCTCTCCCTCCCTCCCTCCCTCTCTCGCTCTCTCTCTCTCCCTCTGCTATGTGGCACTTTGGAGTGTGCCGTCAATGTCCCTAGAGGTAGTGGGTCAGTCTGCCTGCTTGAAACCAGACACAATGCTCCATATTCTGTGTTCCTCGCCCTAACACTGGAATACAGCCAAAAAAATAATAAAATAAAAACTAGGTTTTCACTTTGTCCATCAGTCTGTGCTACTAAGCTGCTCAAGCAAATCAGCTTTAATCAGCCAATCAAAACAACAAATAGTTGATTGTAGTGGATGAATTGGTTAATTTTGCATGTCAGGAAAGATTCAGGGGGTAGGGGTGTTATTTAGAAAATAATGGATGGAGTGGGAGTGGTAGGTAACTTATACTATTACAGTATGATGCAAATATTACAGATCGTACGATGCGTCCCTTCAGATCTACCACTGCCTCACACACACGCTTGAACACAATGTTCTGTATGAATCGTCACTGATGATAAATTAGATCTGAAATTGTTCACAGGTAACACACATTTTTAAAATACAGTTCACTTTTCCATTTCACTTATGTTACAAATATGATAATACTGTTTCCTTTCCTCGTCCTATAATTACATGTTTTTTTGGACTTCAGGAGGAAAATGAAGAGTCCAGAGAAAATCTGCACAACATGGGTAGAACGGACAACCGCCACAGGCCACTGCGAAACCGTAATTATAAATGTTAATGCCACATTTGAAATTCCGCTGTACATTATATATGATTGTGGGGTTTTTTTATTTGGCAACAGTCACTAATATTTATGAACTCCTTTTACGACCGAATATTTGAACTCTATAGTATATTTCATAATTATGATGCTGCAAAATTTATTTTGCATTAATAATATTTAATAATAACAGTTTTAAGCAATTTGAAGATTATTAAAGTCATCCATAATATTGCTTGCTGCGGTAATGTTCAGTAGCCACCACAAGGTGTCCTCAGAGTTTTTTTTAGTTCCTTTCCGTTGTAAATATACCTTACACAACAAGTATGTTAATCCTACACTCTTGCCAAAAATATGATCTAAATAGAACACATTTCCCTACAATAAAACTTTCATACATCATATTTATGAAAATAACTGATTTGTGGACATGCAGTCATATCCAGTCCAAATCACTAGGCTTCTGCCGTAAGGTTCCATGGCCACACCCACTTCTAGTTGACTGTATTGTATAATCACCCACACTTACAATCAGCACATTGTAGCTCATTCTGATCAATGTTTCCTTGCTCTCTTTTGGTGGGCGGGGCTCCCGATGGGGCTTTCTGGTTTTTCCTGATCTGCCTTAGATCTCATGCTTCTCTGATTTTGTTTGGGTTCGGTGATTTGGATTCATTTTATTGATTTTGATTTTGGTTCATTCTCTGGTTTCTGGCTTTGCTCAGTGTCTTGGATCCTATTTGCTAATCACCCAACCTGCTTTAGTTCTATGCCCTAATCTTTGTTGATACCCACTGTAACTCGAAGCTTGAGTCTTTCTTAGCTGCCTCAGCTACGTAATTCACAGTCAGTGGCCCAAATCCTGCCAGCCCCGATTGCTTGGGGACTTGGCAGGCAAAGAGGACTGGCGGGCAGGAAACCTGGCCATGTGGATGTGCAGAATTCAGGCTCTGCCTTTCTACCTGAGACAGTTTACTGTGTTGAGAGACATGTTAAATAATTTCTATTGTTTAACTCCATCCTGTTGTTGTGATAGAAGACCAAGCTAAGAAAATATACTCAGACAGGTTTAGACTATTTAGTATGTCTAACCTAGGTCTGGTGCTTATTTCCCAGAATGACCTATCACACTAGATCTCTGAATTGTGGCAACTTAGTGATAAGTACTGCTGATTGTTTGACTCCACCTACTGTAATTAACTGTGATGGGGTTCTGGATAAGTGTCATGGATGCTTGGTGCAGAGGTGCTAGCATCTGCTAACCTTTCCAGAATTTTGCCTGTTGTATACATTTATCATGTCCTTACTAACAGGATGAACTTTGGCCTGGGAAACAGCCTCTTGGAATGACATAGAGTTGAGATAAATGATATCCATGGTTTTTCTCATCTTTTGAGCTTGAAGTTTGATTATCTTGTGTCAGGAAAGATTTTGGGATATGCTTATTCTCTAGAACTCTGTATTGTTGCTTCCGACAGTGGCTGGAATGAGCAGGAGTTGATTGCTGCCTATCTATTATCAAAGGCTATCAGATGAACCCAAAAAAAAGCATTAGCCTGCTGAAATTTAGAACGTAATCTGGATGCTTTAATTGAGCTGTTGGTCAGGTAGATAACCCACTACAGGAAAGTAGACAGATAATCCAATTCAGTTCTTGCAGGATATGTGTTCAGCTAGTGTTTCCTCTGTTCCTTCAAATTCAGGCCCCCCCTTAGTTGAAACAATTTGTTTGAATTTCTGATTTAGAGCAACAGCATCACTCGAGACTTTCGTTTTTTTCCTCTGGAAATGAGGTAAATGCCAAACGCACCACAAATGTTCTCTGAAGTACGATTCTCCTTGTCTATGGCCATCAACCTCAGTAGAAGAGCAGCATTAACAGGATCGACGTTCTGTGTTGGCTTCCTCTTCCTTGATTGTCCTGTGGGTGAGCTCATTGTCAATTGCCTGTCAGACTCCACAGACAGGCTTGATGTACTGCCCTCAGAGGTGGAAGGAGAAGCCGGCAACAATTTGCTTGGTGTCGGCAATCTAGGAACCTCCAGTGTCTGTAACCACAAGAATTATAATTCAGATCAATCTAATATCTGAAAAGCAAAATGATGGCTGACGACTGAAGGGAAAAAAACTGGCCACGATATATATGTATCTATATATTGAAGTGCTAGTCAAAATAGGCAGATTAAAACTATCATAATTAAGCTAAATGAAAACCAAACCTTCAAAAATCAACTTGCTTAGATTGATTAGTTTCTGCAGTGCTTTCAGAATCATGGAGACTATTAACATTATGTATTGGGGAGGGATGTCATGGCGATGTTTTCCACAAACACTGCACTGCTGATGTCATGTCCCATGACAAAAGTCGCTCATACTGCACCTAAGATTTTTGGTGGTACTGTACATCTTGTGTACGCGTAGTGTTAATTCCTCACATAGGTGCACAAATGATGTGTGGAATCAGTGCAGAAAACGCACTGCAGCCATGATGCGGACGAGTTGTGAGCGTTGAATATAATCAGCCCTTAGGGAGCCCCTAGGCTCCTACCACAGATGAGGCTGACCCTCATGAACTGGGAAGGTTAAGGGGAGTACTCCTGGAATTCTGAAAGACACATCCTCCACCCAGACTTCATACAAGTCCATCAGAACCACATTGACTGTTCTGAAACTGCCTTATCACATTTGAAAGCCTAGCCAATTCCCATAGATGAACCCATGTCAACAGACCCAGTTCTAAACTCCATTTCCAAGATCTGGCAGGCCGGTCGCAGGATTCACACTGAAAGCCATCTCCGCCACTGCAAATATGATGTCCATGACTCCCTAGAAAGTGGCAGGTGCTCCGCGGAACCCGAAAGGGAGGATGTGGTACTGCCAATGACTGCTAGGCATGGGATGGGTATGAAACAGGTCTTACCTAGACACTCCACCAGTTCATCCACAAGTTATAAGGTAGCCATCGAAATAGGCAAATTCACCATCTAGTTTGGGGACCATCATGATGGGATTGAACCATGGGCTTTAGGACTCCTCAATTACCCCTAGCTGCCATATCTTCTCAACCTCTTCAACTGCCTATTGGAATGCCTTGGGGATTCTGTAGGGTCTTCGCCAGATAATGATGCCAGGAGTCTTTTGATGTAGGGTTGGATAAGGTGGGTGTTACGTGGGAGGCTGGAGAACACATTCTAGTAGCCATCAACAGTCTCGCTCAATTTCTACCTCTGGGTTGGGTTGAGATCCTCTCTGTGAACAGATAGCTAACAGGCAGGCCGCCACTATTTCAGCAGGATAATGTAGGATACAGTACATGGGTTGTAGGACCCGATAGTCCAGTGAGCCAACTCTATCCAACCATGTTGTTGCTGGAATCTTTCGGAGGAAGACAAGAACTTCCTCCAAGGATGAAGAACTGGATATAGGCCTACCGTTGGACCTATTCAGCTCTCCTCATGTGCTCCCTAATGATCAGCATAATCGTTTCAGTGCTTCACCTTCTCTGAGACCAATATTTACCTGAATTGTAGATGCAATGTTTCTCTCTTCCCATTATTCACTCTGTTTCCATACATTTATTCATTTACTAATTCATGATCACAGAAATATACTTATGTACTTTCACCTGGTACTTGCATGTGAAGGAAATGTACAGAGTCAATGATGTTGAAAAATCTGACAATGATTTTCAGATTTATGTAGAGGACATTGAGCTAGACAGTGATGGTGAAAGAGCAAAGAAGAGGATGAGACTGATATAAGGTTTTCCACAGAGTAGCAGCAAGGGCATCAGTACTGAACCTTGTAGTCATGTCCCTGCCAGGAAGGAAACACTAAAGCTGTTATCTTAATAAATCTGCCAGAATATTTGCTACATAGTAAATTTCAACAATTGTCAGTTCATCTCAGGCCTCAAATTAAATGGCGAGGAATCATCAGTGATTGCCAATGCACAAAAATGGACTGTTTGGGTTCCTGATTGTGACGCATACTAAATCCCTTGGGGCTCTCACCATATTGTGAAGTGTCTCTTGTGTCTCTTCCTTAAATCACTGTCTGGGCTTTTGGATTCTCTGCTTTATGACCCTTAGCTTGATTATGTATTCTACAGTTCTGGATTTTCCCCATTTCTCTGCACTCAACTGATCTCCTGGGATCAAGATCTGCAGCTGGGTCCTAACTTGCAAGACCTTTGTCTCTGTGACAACAAATGTTTTTAAAACAAGTGCCACCTTTCACAGTTCATGGTGGGCG